AATGTTCATAAAAAATAGATAATTTTAGTTATCATAAAAAATGGGTATGTTCATGGAAAAAAAGTTCATGTCATTTTATTATTTTTCGGATTTTGTAAATAATGTTTTTCAAGCGCAAAAAGGACCTTAAGGAATTTATTTACGCCGTCTGAACAGATTTTTAGTGTTGTTTTTGTTTGTCTGTTATGGGCCCGAGACGTGAACTTTGGGACATCCTGTGCAGTAAATCTAAGGGCAGTTGTGAAAACTTGAATAAATTCTCTACAAAGACATGTCGTGGTTTTCGAAGAAAACATTTTTTTTTTCATCCTTGACATTAATTTTTTTAGTGCAAAATATGACTACAGTTTTTTAGAAAATCTACCGCTAATTTACAAATATTTAAGATATGACTAATGTTGAGCGAAATTTTTACAGTTCAATGTAGTCACAATAACCCTATAAAATGACAAGTTGATACATCAAACCGTTTTTCTATAGCTTAAATTAAAAAAAAAAATATTTTTTTAATTTTTCAAAATTTGTTTTTTTTCTGGGAAATTCTTGTTATCTAAAGATCTTGAAACTAGAGACTTAAATATTCAAAATGCTTTTTATCTCAATACAAAAATTTTTTACTCGGGTACCTTCCGAAAACCACTAAAAAAATCATAAAAAATGTTTGTTCCTTTCATTTTTTCTAGTAGTTTAATTTTTTTTTTCATTTTCTTCAATCTTATTACGGCCCAAAATAGGGTTTTTCGTATTGTTGCATCCAGCAGTGTTCATTTATACTTCAAAAAGTTAGAAGTTATAAAAAATTGGGTTTTACTTTAAATTTTAATTGGTCTTTGCTAATGTGTGTTTTATATGTATACGATGACTAACCAAATTACTATATTTACTTTAATTGCTGTTAGTTAGCAACTATTAGTATTACATAAACACTAGATATCATTTTTAAAACAAATAATATTGTTGATATTTATGTAGAAACATTTAAACAAATATGGTTGTCTTTGTTAAAACATATCATTTTTATTTCATTAAATGTTGTCAATTTTTTATAAAACATTAAATCGTTGCTCTAAGGTGGCCAAAAGACCTACTTATTTTTTATTATATACAACAATTCCATGTCCATTGTTTTCACTGTATACAAAATAAATAAATCGAATAAAACCACACACGCGGATATTTTTACGACCAGCTGATACATTTTATGTCTTTTACAAATAATTAATTAATTTTAATGAATTCACATTATAAAAAAAAGAAATAGAAATAGAATCAGTTCTGAGAAGTATACATTTTCTTATTTATTATAATAAAAAAAACCTCGCACTGTCTATAATGATCCTGTTGCGTATCCTTTTGTTAAATTATAATTTTTAAGATTCTTGCTAGTAACATTTATCAGGTTCTTATTCTTAATATAAGAAAATAGCACCGCTTTAATAATCAATTATTTATTTTAGGAATTGAAAATACAATTGGCCACACCATTGAAACAAATTATTAAGAAACCCACTATCAAATACTACATTTTCTTCCCATTCTCACATGTTATACCGAAAATAACCCAGATTACATTAAATGGACAGCTATATTGTTCTGGACGTCATGAACTATGTAAGTAATTAAATTATAGCCGCCACTTCGAAATGATGTCATAATTTTTTATTTTAGTGAAATCTGGAACTACTGGTCTTTGGTTTAGCCGTCTAGATAAATTTTTTGATTCAAAGTAAGTCAACATAAAATTCTAATATATCAAACTATTATACTATACAAGGTGAATTAAAATAATTAGTCTGTGTAATAATTACTTCATCTAAAATTCTGTTGGATTAAGAATATGCACCTTAAAAATATGTACTTCAGTGTCTTGATAATACAGAGCGTTTAAATTAAAACTAATTAAGCACTGGTAGGTCAATTTTACTTCAAAATTGTTAGTATTTCTTTCTGGGTTAAAATGTAATAAATGAAAAAACAATGGTTGTTTCATTTAAAAAATGTAATTTTGACAAATTAGTCGTTAATTGAATTTTCAGTAGTTTTTTAGATTAGTGTACATATGAAGGATGTGTCAAATTTAATATCGGTCACAAGATATAATATTTCTGAAATTAAATAGTGTCTTTCATATAAACATTTATCCAAAAATACTGTATCTTCGAGATATAAGTGGTATAGTTTAAAAGAAAATCAGCTATTTTTATATTATCCCCAGTTAACATAACTTTTAATAAATAAAGTTAAATCGAATTTATCGTGAAAAGCGCCAAAGGAAAATCCTATAAATTCTTACAACTTTTTTTATTAAGTTAATTTAAAATATTGCCCATATCTCCACTACTGATTGTTTAGGGGACTTGATATTACCGCATTTAAAAGCAACGTATGCAAATATGAGATGTATCAAATTTAGTTTGAATATGTCAGTTAGTTTGGAAAATATATAGAACTAGCTGACCCCACACACGTTGTCCTGTCCAAATTTCAATAAATTTGTTTGTGATAAGCACTTTCAGTTTTTCCGAGATTTTCCAATTTTCCGAGCAACTTTTCCAATTCTTTTATAAAAATTTTTATTTATTTTTCGGACTATTACGAACATCGAAAAATAGCCAAATCGGTCCAGCCATTCTCAAGTGATGCACTTACCAACGAACGGCATTTAATTTTTATTTATATATATTATATATTTTATTTAACTTTATCACCTTGTTTTGAAAAAATGTTCATACTAACAACTTTATTTATTTTAAAAAGTACTATCACATAGTCTCTGGTAGGGCCTTAAATCTGAACCACTCTGTATTTGTCAGTAGAAAAAATACTATTCCTTTTGTAATTTAACCGATTTTGTATCTCCAAAAATAACGAAGGAATAGTGCCGATTTATTTTGACTCGACTTGTATTACATATTAGTTTGATTTAAACAAACAGTCATAATTCAGAAACTATTACAAATAGCAAGTAGCTGATGATTTCAATTTTTTATACAAATACAGCTGTCAATACAGTCATTTAACATACTCGTTACAAGGAGATATTATTTTAGATAATATTAAAGTGGTATCCTATTCTATTCCTTCTATTCCTTCATCAAAGAAAAATTCTGTAAAAAAATCTTGTTTATAAAATAAATTTGGAGTATTTAACAATTTTTTTTAAGAATTGCAGGACTTGTTTAATATCTTATTTTTTCAATTATATTTTTTTTAATCCACTGAGAAAAAAATAATTTTGTACGGTCGTGCATTATTTAACTTTTCCACATTCGCGCGTCAGGCAAATATTATTTTTATTAATGCGAAAAACATTTGTATGTTTTAATTTATCACGTTGAATCTGCTGTATTCAAAGTTCGATGTCACAACATTCAAATTGTCAAACTGGCAATTATTACTTGACTCTTCCCTGGACGAATTTTAATTAAATTTAATAAAATATCGGGTGTCCCAAAATTCACGCAAGATTTGAATTTTGCGCCATTTGTGCGCTACAGTATTGCCAACGAAAAAATAAGACAGCGTGACAGCTGACAGTTCAAGGTTATTAAAAATGAAGTGCTACGCGAAAAAACGACGCGTTTTCATTGTTGAGCAATATTTTAAAAATAGTGAAGTTTTGGCAGCTACTGTTCACAATTTTCGTACAGAATATGGTCCGAATAGTGATTTAATTTCAACAACTATGAAGAGGTTAATAGAAAAAGTCATAGTGACTGGATCAACTAGTGATCTTAAACACTCTAGCCGTCCTTCAACAAGTCGTGCTACACAAAATTTCGAAGCAGTTCGTGAAAGTGTTGCTGAGAGTCCAGGAACATGAATACGGCACCGTGGTCAAGAATTGGACATTTCGAGAAGTTTTCTACAGCGTATTCTCAAGAAAGATTTGCATCTTCATGTTTACAAAGTTCAATTGATTCAAGAATTGAAGCCTACTGACTATGCAGAGCGAAGAGAGCCCGTTGAATGGTTTGTGGAACAAGTGGCTCAGTTTCAGTTTGATAGCTTCGTTAATCGACGAAATTGTCGCACTGGGGTTCAGAAAATCCACTAGTGATTGTTGAAAAACAGATGCATCCACAGCGTGTTACTGTTTGGTACAGATTTTGGGCTGGAGGCAAGCTATGGATATGAACGACATGAAGTTTCAACAAGACGGTGCCACATACCATACGGCCCGAGAAACAATTCAATTACTGCGTGAGTCATTTCCTGGTCGTGTAATTTCCCGTTTTGGTGGTCAGAATTGACCATCTAGATCATGCAATTTAACGCCGTTGGAGTTTTTTCTTTGGGGTTTTAAAATCTAATGTTTATGCCAACAAGCCCACGACCACTCATGCCTTGAAGAAGGAAATTGAGCGCTGTATCAAAGAAATTCAGCCGCTTTTATGCAAAATAGTCAAGGAAAATTTCTACAAAAGAGTACGTATGTGCCAGCAAAGCTATGGAGACCATTTACCCGATATACTTTTTCAGATACTAAGTATATGAATCAATAAAAAATTATAAGTTTTAATTAAAAACTTGTGTTTTCTATCAGAATCACTTCTCGTGTGAATTTTGGGACACCCTCTATATAAATAATACATATTTCTTTGAAAATACTATACCAAATCATGTAAGACCGTAATAATGAAAAACTTTACGCGCCCGAGTGTATAGTGAAGTACTTTACGCGTTATAGCGTAATTTTATTGCTTTACAAATTAGAGCGTAATAGTCTTTTACACATTTGTGCATACAATTAATTAATTGTAATAAAAATTCATGTAGTACCTAGAAAATTCATTAGACAAAACTCCCCAACGTAAAAAGTACATTGCTTTGTATACACTTGGTGCGCAGATTGGTATTTTATCTTCTTTGATACATTAAATGAAACGCCCCGTATTTCACCCGACAAGTCGTTATTAATTCAGTGTAACCGCCACTGAACATGTCGAGTAGTGTAACATCCTGTACTAGTTTGTCAAATCTTCAGGTAAACTTTTGCTTGTTTGAATGTAATGAATGACTTGGGAAAACCGGATTGAATATTAATTGTGCAGTTTAAATTTTATTCCTATCGCACCTATTTCTTATTTTGGTGCTGATCAAACAACACATGTGCCTTACTTTTGTGTTTTAATTTTATTTTTGAAATAAAATTGAGGATTAATCGTTGAATGTGTGAAATTTTTATTTATCGAGGCGAATAAACAACAGTAATTGATAAAGTGTGTGGTTAGGCAAGTGTTTGTTATTCAAAACTGTACTTGTTTCGAGATGCCTTGTCTAACAGGTTGTCACTGCGCGGTTTTACTAATATTTATATCGAGTGTGGCGAATTCGCTGAGGATTCCCGAGAATCCATGCCCGAATACGTTCCATTACTATAAAAAAAGTGACAATGGTGAGATATATGGAGAAGCCAACATACCTTACGACAGAAGCAGTAGCTTGAGGTTCAGCGTTAATGCTTCTTTGGTAGGATACTTCGACAAGGCGGTAAGTATGAGACACACGTTATGGATGTGGATATAATGTTTAATTACTATACAGGGTGTTTCCTAAGTTAATGTCGTGGCTTGAAGCCATTGATCTTTGAAATAATTTATGCTCTAACCTACATAACTTTGTCAAAACAAGGACGATATAAATATTACATCTTAATATCTAAATTCAGTGATTTTTAAGATATAACTAACTTTTATATTAGAATAAATGCTACAAAAACTGAGGAAAAATGTCAAGCCGTTCCAATACTTCTTTAAGTCCTGTGCTAATAAAAATTGTATCTCTTTAATATTTTATTATTCATATTTTACAAATTTATGGAAGCTTTTGAATACAAAATTGTAAAAAGGTGGGTATCAACATCTTTGAGGAAAAATAACATTATTAATTAGTTTTCTGATCTGAAACGTCACTAAACAGAAACATATTTTACATTATTAAACTCCGAAGAAAATAAAGAGCACATGACGTGAAAATATTAATGCGTGTCTATGTATTTATAATAAATAAACTGATGATGCTTGTCGCAAAATGAAACGTCGCATTAAGAATCTTATTCTTATCAAATTTTAAACACTTGACCCATATATGAAATTAAAGTGATCTCCATGATTTGTTCGAAGGTAATAAACTAAATTCGTACACAGGTTGTTAAAAAAATCCACGCAGAAAACTAAACTTTCAACAGCCACAATTTTGTTACAATCACCTGTTTTTTTTTAATTAAACAGTTACTTCAGAAGGCTTTAAAAGGATTTCTTAGTTTCATAAAATAACCCTTGATTGATCCTACCGACGCAGGAGTAGTTTTAATTATTTAAATAAATTTTCACAGGTGGTAAACTACTCAAATATCCAGAGAAAAACCTGGTTTGCAAAATTTTAATTAACAAAGCTTGTATGTTGAAATTTTTGAAAATATCACAAGCATCACTAATGTTGAAGAAAATACAGTACCAGTATGAGTATTGGTAGATTGAAGGCCTTTTTTGTAAAGAATGCAACTGAGCATATATCCAAAAAATCAAATCAAGTTTTAAATTTTCTATGGAGTGACAGAAAGTATAGTTCTTGGGCAAATCCAAATTTCTATATAAACATTTTTTTCTTTCTGATTAATAGGTTCGTTATACAAAATGTAACTAAAATACCTAGACCAACTTTAGTTACAGATTCCACGTCAGAAACTATTTAAAAATGGTCCCTATAAATATATGCCCGAAATTGCTGAAATACAGACTGTTGAAAATTGATGAAAATTAAATAAATAGATCAAATAATATTCTATTTTATTTATTGACAACATGATAACTTGCATTTGTTATTTTTTTTAATTCAAAAACTATTTAACAATGCAGTTCTAGTGACACGCATTTTACAAAGTGTAACTAAATACTTCTTCTTCTTCTTCTTAACCTGTAGCTATGTCATATTCAGATCACGTAACACCGCGACCTTGTCAGAACTATTTTGCGTCCACTGTTCAAACCTATTCAGCAAGTAGTTTGGTACTTTTTACAAAGTCCAAAAGCTTTCTTGCAGACACTTGGGTTCCAAAAAGGTTTTCCCAGAAGCGCCATTCTACTACGTGCAACTGGCCCAGGATATGCACAAAAGTTTCGTTCACCGAGTCACATCCTCGGCAGATGGAACTGTCTACAAGCTTGTATAGATGTTTCTTAAAGTGACTGTGTTCGTTTATAAGTCTTGTCACTTTCTTGAGCCGAATTTTATTCAAGCTCAGTAACTCATTAGTTCTTTTCTGCAAAGAACACAGCATCCTTCGAATGGCTTTGCCCTGACCTTGAAGACCAGTATTTCTTATGTTCTAACAGTCCATTTGCCCAGAGCCCTCCAATGAACGCTGTTTCAGATCCCTTCCCAGCAAGTCCATCCGCTTTCTCATTTCCGCCAATGTATCCTGGCACCCAACATAGTCTAACTGTATTAGTAGTAGCTAGTTCAGTCATCATTTGTAAACATTTCCACACAAGTTTTGAACATACTTTATGTGTGTCTAAAACCTTAATTGCTGCTTGAGCGTTAGAGAATTTGTATGAGTTTATGTCTATACCCTTACGTACATTCTCTGATAAACATGACATTATCGTGAGGATTTTTATTTGAAATACAGTGGGAAATCTCCCCAGACTGCAGCTTGCACTCCATCTGGGGCTGAGTCAATATATTCTTACAGACACCCCCTGGTCGTTTTGGAGTCGACCGTAAACCATCTTCCCAGGGTGTCAAACTTTTCCTCCCATTTGCTTTAATCCTCTATTCGACTCTCAAATGGCTTGTAGAAGTGAAACCTTGGAACCGTCTTGTGGAATAACATCTCCAAATGTTTCCATAATCCTGGAATAGGGACTACCTCTCCAGTCGTTATTGTTCCTGATTTGTAACTAAAATACTTAGTCAAACTTTAATTACAGATTCCACGTCACAAACTAATAAAAAATGGTTTCTCTTAATATGTGTTCACAATTATGAAAATATAACTTTTTAAATAATAATTTATTTAATTAATGAAGAACGTGATTACTTGTATTTTTTATTGATATTCCATTATTTCTAAAACAATTTAAGTATATATTCTTGTGACACGCAACAGTGGGACATTTTTATAAATATTTGATAATTCTAGTTCGCATGAACTAATCCAGCATACCGAAACTACACTTCAATATGTAAAAAAATATGACATGTACATACGTTTGTGGATAGTCAAAATTAAAGTTACATACCAAAATAAAAAAAATCAAAATGGGGAATATTTATAGGAACTTTTTTAGGTAATTCAGGTTAATTGAAAATAGCTTAATACTTTTAAAATAAACTAAACACTGGGTATATTAACCTGCTTAAATGTTTGACATACTTTAAAAGCTAGACATACAGATAAAAAATTAAAAAAAATTATTGTTCCAATAATGTATATCCAATGACCATCATTATGTGTGTAGTAGACGTAAACGATGTTATATTATGGCAATTAATATGAACCCTCTGTATATAACAGAACCGCTTATTTTTCCACTACTAGTATTGTCTTGTGGAAAGGAATTTGTTCCGGTTTTGAGCATACGCGGCATTGCTCACTTCATGAGTCAGTAGATTGGATTTCATATCATAATTGATTACATTTCTTTAGATAATTTAATTTAGAATTACAGACATACCTATAGTAGTTGCTATCAAAAGAAAGGCTAAACTAGGAAACGAAGAATATGCTCTTGAAATGTCAATCATCAATTAAATTATTCCTGTTCGTAATGTGTAGGTTACTTATATTAAAAAAAAAAACATTTCTCCTTCAAACATTTGTATTAATGAGTACTTTAACAACTTAAAAAGACACAACTCGTATTCCAGAAGTACTTATTAGATTAGATATTAGATTCCTTTTTTTCTGGTACCTTGCATCAAATACTAACTTTATGCGTGCAGTACAGAGTGACAAAAAAGTTATGGTTTGCCGCCATGTCAGAAAAACGGAAAGAGCAAGTAAGGAACCACAAGTGGAGGTTTTTACGGCATGAAGTATTAGATTTAAACTTCCATCTTGGTAAGTTTACCGTCCTAAAGGCTTGACCTCATCGAAATTACTTTTTCCAATTTCGTATTTTTTTACATCATATTTAAATCTTTTTTCTTCAACAACTTTTATTAAAACAGTTTTGCGATATCGTTTCCCTTTCAAAAATTATAAGACGATATGTATATAGAAATTAAACACCAGCTGATGAAGTCTATAGTGATTTGTCAGCATTTCCATGCAGAGCATACTTTCAATGTTCATATTTAATATTGACATGTCTCAATTATTTTCATGCAAACTTACTACTTTTATTTAAAAAATAATATTCAATGAAGAAGTAGATATAATTCTGATATTTGAAGATGGTCGGAAAGACAATTGATTGTCCAACATTGCAACGAGAACTGTGCTTTGTCCATGGAGATGCTTTGACTGTTTGTTGCATATACATTATGCTAAGGATAAAAATGTTATGTAAAAGATGAATATATGGATATGTGTAGTGATAGAACCTACAGAGCTTACAAGTATAAGTATAACTATGGCTTATAATTTTTGTTTTAAATTTAAAAAGTTAAATGTAAAAAGCGGGGGATGGTAAAAGACTATCCAATTATACAGGGTCGCTGATATGTTTGGAAATGGTCGATTATCTTCTAAAGTAAGGTAACTATCGAAAAATCATAAGACACAAACGTTTTAGGGTTTTTAAATATCTATTACAATAAAGAAAAATTAGGTATACAGGATCAGTCTAAAAGTCATGACGAAACAAAGTTGCATTTTCTTTAATAAAAAAAAATTTTAATTCTTCTTGAAATTCTAAACAAAATTCATACGACACCTCATGTACCTAAACATAACCGTTTTCGAGATATCGAACTTTGAAAATCAATTTCTTATAAATTATACAAAAATATTTTAATACATTTAGTTTATAGTCCATCAAGTTACATTTGAAAGTTTCTAGCTCCATAACAACGCCGTGTCGTTCTTTTGTCTAATAGTGATTGTCTAGATAAGACATGTCAAAAATACATTTCGTGTGAATAATATTCTCGCAAAAAAAAAGTAGTGGATATTTTTCCGATCGGGAACGTAGGTATTTCTAAATCAACCGTTTGAAAAACATTGCAGCGTTTTCATGAAACTGGACGTGTTATAGATTGACGAAAAAGTGGGAGACCAGTAAGCGTTACAAATGAAGAAAATTTTTTAAATGTCATGTTAGATGTGATGGAAAATCCAATAAATTCGACACAACAGAGGGCTTTAAATCATAACATGAATCGATATTCCATTAAAAAAAATTTACAAACGGGAAAAATTACATGTACCTATAAAAAATTCATTTTTTTACAAGAATTGAGTGAATCGAGTTCTGCGAAGCCATTATGAATAAATTAAACAAAAATGTCAACTTTGTCGCCTCTATCGTTTTCTGAAGAATCTACATTTTGTTTAAATAGACACGTAAACCGACACAACAGTAGATATTGGTCAAACTAAAATCCACATTGGATGGAGGAAGTTCACACCCAACGACCACAGAAACTATATTTTTAGTGTGGCATTATTGGTGGACATGTCATACGACCCTATTTTATAAAAGGAAATCTGACCCTTGAACATATATTTATTACTTTTGCAAGAACGCAATAATTTGGGGCCCTTTTTCTTTTATAAATTTGAGAGTAGTAAAAAGTTACTTTCAAAGTTCGATATCTCGAAAACGGTTAAGTTTAGGTACATGATGAGCTATATGAATTTTGTTTAGAATTTCCAGAAGAATTGAAATATAGAATAATATACAGGGTACTCCATTAAAGAAAAAACAACTTTGTTTCGTCATGACTTTTTGACTGATCCTGTATACTTAATTTTTATTTTCTTTGTTGTAATATATTTTTAAAAACCCTAAAACGTTTGTGTTTTATGATTTTTCGATAGCAATCTTACGTTAGGAAGTAATTGACCATTTCCATACATATGAGCGACTATTTGTACAGGATGTTTCAGAAAGACTTCCGGTAAATACAGGGGGTTATAGTACGACAAAAAATATGGATTTTTTTTCTTATAAACTATGTATCTCCTCTTGTTTTCGAGATACAGAGCGACAAAATAAAATTTTTTAAATAGAATTTTTACGAAAATTTACAAACGGTACAAAATATTTTTATGAAATTTGGTATCCCGGGGTTTTTAAGGATGCCAAATACGCTGGTCTAATTATTTTTTGTATATTTCATAGAAGGCGCTAGTTATGCTACATTCCTATTACATTTTAAGTTCTAATTTTTTTAAGATTAGGTTTATTACCTTTCGGGCTCCAATTTCTAATGTAAGTACAATTTTTTTTTTTCTAAAATTAATGTGCTCTTGTTAGAACTTTCTAATGTGGACGGTTTTCAAGAAAAAAGGCTTTTAATTGAACTCTTACAATATTACAGTGTAGAAAATAAGTTACTTTTCTCAAAGTAGGCTTATGTCAAAACTTATTGATGAATGTCTCGTGAACAACACATAAATTCTAAGTAATATTTTAAACTCTAATTACCTTTATATAAAAATTTTAGTGTCTACAATTAGTCATTATTAACTACAGTCACTAACAGTCACTAAAATCTTGATATAAGGTTAATTAGAGTTTAAAATATTACTAAGAATGTATGCGTTTTGACATAACCCTACTTTGAGAAAAGTCACTTATTTTATACACCATAATATTGTAAGAGTTTAATAAAAGTCTTTTTTCTCGAAAACCGTCCACATTAGGAAGTTCTAACAAGAGTATCTTATTTTTAGAAAATAAAATTATACATTAGAAATGGGAGCCCGAATGGTGAAAAACCTAGCCTTAAAAAAAAATAGAACTTAAAATGTAATAGGAATATAGCATAACTAGCGCCATCTATGAAATATCCAAAAAGAAATTTGACCAGTGTATTTGGCATCCCTAAAAACCCCGGAATATCAAATTTCGTAAAAATATTTCGCACCGTTTGGAAACTTTCGTAAAAGTTCTATTTAAAAAATTTTATTTTGTCGCTCTATATATCGAAAACAAGAGGAGATAGACATATAGTTCATATGACAAAAAATTCTTATTTTTTGTCGTACTATCACCCCCTGTATTTACGGGAGGTCTTTCTGAAACACCCTGTATATCTATATTGTTTTTAATTGTAAATTTTTAAATATGAAGGAAACATTTAAAGAATGTTAATAATTGAATGCATACAGTTATGGCAAAAAATGACTTATTTGTATCTAAAAAGTAGTAGTAAAACAAGATATTTGATGGTATTGTCATAAAACTCGTTGTACTAAATGACAACCTAACTGCGATACAAACTTTTGCTAGAATAAAAATTACCATAATAAAAAGATGATCTTGCAACAATAAATAATACGTTTTTTATGGCAGCATCGTAACCTTTCCGAAGTCTATTTGAAGCGGATATTTTATTTGGGTTAATCAATTTCTACTTGTAACTAAATGATATTTCCCTCAGTATATTACAATCTAAAGCATAGACAAAATCTACATACTTTTGCCCGAATACAAAAATATATAAAGGTATTTAAAAACTTTTTTTGAACTTTTGTATAAAAATATTTATGTTCTAAACACAAATACTTGCCCACAAAGTACAAACAACTAATGTGGGTATATTTATTCACAAGTGCAGGCTAATGCAGAGTATTGCAATTCTAAATTTTATATCTTGGGCATAATTAGACCGATTGTTTTAGGGTTGTCAACAATGTCATTTTAAAAACTCGACTCAAAAGATTTTCAGGAGTTATACTCCCTCTTGCAATATGTCAGCCTCAAACGTATTTTACTTTCTTTCTTAAAATCAGAAATATGTAGCCTGCAAAATTTCTATAGCTAATTCATTTTGAAATGTATTCTTTGAGATACCGAGTAACTAATATTTTGAGATGTGAACAAATTACTTCTGTCCTTAAACTTTGAAGCAAGAAAAAATATTTCATTAACGCTTGTTTTTGTTTATAAGCAAATGTTTTTGTTTTCGTATCAGTCATTTCTTTAAAAATATTTGAAAATAAGCATTGTATATCTGTACGTACTAGGCATAATATGTAATATTATATCTAATTTAATTATAACATATTTGTTTGTGTATAATTTGTTTATATAAACTTGTAATATTTACAACACAATCTTATCTAAAAGTTTACTTGTTTAGTTTTAATTACGTTTCTTTCATTTTAGGAATTAAAAATTCAGTTGGCCACCCCTCCGACACCATTCGCCAATGAACCGGTGCTTAAATACAACATATTTTTTCCTTTTAAAAATGTGATACCTAAAATAACCCAACTGACATACAACGGACGCGTATACTGCTCAGGGCCCCCTGAACCACGTAAATAGCTATGAAGACAAAAAATACCTTCATTAAAAGTATACATTTTAGTGATACCTGGTACTCCTGGAGTCACGAACGTGTGGGCTAGTCATTCATACTCGTTCTCCAGCATACTTAGCCGAGAGAAAGATAGTGCTGATAATTTTGTTACCTCAACCCAAGAGAATACTATTTCTGATTACGATATACCCGTTAGAGATCCCGTTGCTGCTGTCAATTCGAATAATAGTTCAAGGTCAAATTTCAATGATAATCCGTTCCTTAATATCGGTAACTCAGGGTAAGTAAAAACAAAAAATATCTCGTCGAAGGTAAAGCTGTTATAGCTTTCTATGTATAGTCTTAATTCTACGAGGGTGATTCAAATATAAACACGATTTTTTATAATCCAAGGAAATTGTAGGGGTTACAGAGGGTAGAGATTGCTATGTATTTTAACCACGGGTATAATTTACAATGTAAATATGTCCGAGGAAAGTAATTTCCAAAATTAAAGATATTTACGTAGTTTAATCGATTATTTTTTGCTGTCCACATGGAAAGTAACCATTTATACACGCGTACCAACTAATTGCGGTTTTGACAAGTCATATGTCAAGAAAATTATTTAGAATACGACTTCAGTCTTTTAGTTTCATAAAGCAGGTTAAATCTAACTCTAATATACTGTAATAGGTAGTGTTTAAAAGATAACAACATTTTAATAGCGAATTTAAAGACCCTTTAAACGATCGAAAAATTTATTGCAGCCAGTTAAATAGTGTCGTAAAGTTGAAAATTGCACTATTTACAAAGCAACTTAAATTACTCAGGAACAAATTTAACAAATAATCCAATAAGCGGCTACCTAATAATAAAAAAATAAGGTACTTAAACAGTTAGTTATTAAAAAATCAAATTTAGTAAACGAATTGAGTTGAAACTGATAATTTTATCATTATTTTATAAATATAAATATTTGAAAAAAAATCTTTATAGTTTATCACCATAAGGACTGTGACGTCTCGAAATTATTCTTCCTAGTTTCATAAATATTTTTTGCATCTAGTGAAAGTCCTCTTTTTCTCAATAGCTTCTATTAAAAAAATATATAATGTATACAGATTTATTCACATAACTGGTTCATTAAAAGGATACGAAGTTACCATGATAGAAATTTGTTGAAAATTTGAATACCCAGGCCATGAACTTTTCACTGAAAACATTTTCAAAACTGTTGCACTTCCGATTATACCGGAAGTTCCTACTAGCTTTGTTATTTTAAATGGGACACCCTATACATTATTGTATTTTCGGATCGTATGTGAAATTTGAGGGCCACTTTATTAAATATTCCCTGTACCTAGGAGTTATAGAATTTGACATATTAATTTTTAAATAAAGAATTTGACAGAGCAAAGGTCCGCGGAGATGCTAGTAACTCTTTTCAGAAGTTTGATATCAAGTGGATTTTTGGTTTTTGGTACCTGTAAAGGGCATAGGTAACGCTAAATTATGGTATACCAACTTAATACTAAATACTTAGTACCTAGTACTTAATACTTAATACTTAATATTTAGTACTTAGTACTTAGTACTTATTACTTAATACTTGGAATACATTTTGTTAACTTAAATGGAACACCATGTAAATTTTTACTATGTCGTATGCAGATTGAAATTTCCTTTCAAACGATAGAAGTATTGTTAGGGTTGCCTTACTGCTTTTAGTGATATTTGCAATTTTCTATTTTTTGGACAGTTTTTCTCGTCTCAGTCCTGTTGTCAAACTGGCCATCACCAGAAACACGCTCCAAAAACAATTGAAATAACTTGACATTTGTCAAGTTAGTTGTCAAATTATTGTTATGTCTGCAATAGGTTTTGCTGAAAATTTAAATAAAAATGTCTGGGGATCGTGTAAATTATATTAATGAGGATTATTTCTGTTTGTTTGTTAGTTATGGAAAGAAGCAGCAAATTCTCTACAAATTCTTGAAATTACTTTGTCGCATTTTCCATAAATAACAAACATATTAAAATAATCCTCATTAGTTTAAATAATTTAAGCGATCCACAGGCATTTTTATTTTAATTTTCGGCAAAAACTATTCAGACGCCACAACAATTTGACAACTAACTTGACAAATGTCAACATACTTCAATTGTTTTTAGAGCGTTTCTGGTCATGGCCAATTTGACAACAGGTCTGATAGGAGAAAAGGAGAAAAACTGCCCAAAAAATAGAAAATTGCAAATATCTCTAAAAATAATAACGGCAATCCTAATAATGCTGATATGGCTTGAAAACAAATTTTAATCTACATACGACAGAATAAAAAAATACATTTAAGTTAACAAAATTATAGCTGTTTGAAGTTATTAAAATGTAGCAGCAAAAATGAAACACCTAGTATTAAATGTTTTAATTTGTTAATATACCTTAATGTTATCTATGCCCTTTACAGGTACCAAAAATTCACTTGATAACACGCTCCTAAAAAGAGTTACCTACTAGCATCTCCGCGGATCCTTGGATGTCAATCTTTTTCTTTAAAAATTAACTTCTCAAATTCTATAACTAAGTACTAGGTGTAGGCAATATTTAAAGTAACCTTGAAATTTCACGTACAATCCGAAAATGCAATAATATATGTATAGAGTGTTTCATTTAAAATAACGAAGTTGGTGGCAACTTCCAGTATAAGCGGAAGTGCAACAGTTTTGAAAATATTTTCATTGAAAAGTTCTTCTAATGAATCAGTTGCGTGAATAATCCTGTATATAGAGAAATATAGTGATTTGTCGGCGTTGCTGTGGAAAACAACATATTTCAATGCATTCATTCATTGCTGACATATTTACTACGTTTATTAAAAAATATGAATTCTCAATGAAGAACTAAATATAATTCTAGACGGCTATATAGAGACAAATGATTTATGTTAAAAATGAATATAAACATTGAAAGTATCTTGTTTTCCATGGAAATACTGATAAAACTAGGGTTGCTTAAATTACAAAAAGGTTGCATATTTTCATGCCCAATCGGATTATGAAAAGAAGTTGGATATAAGTCTCACCATTACTGAAATAAGTTGAAAAAACTGAAAACTTAACTTTTCTTATTTCTTCCATATCTTTTTTTATGTATTATTAAAAGTAGAGTAATGAAAATCGGTACCTACCTATGTATACATAAGCTGGTATGCTTTATCTGTTGGACGGTTAAAACATCTTCCAGGTCTATTAGATCCTTATGTTTTTGTAACCAACTGTTTAATTCTTATGGACGCCATATTGGCTTTTTACACCACTAGATGAAGTATTATTTCTAGTTCAACGATGTATGGGTGAAAAGATTTTATTAATTACCAAAAAAACATCAATTTTATGATTTATTTAATTCGATCATAGCAGCCATGAAAACAAATGATAATGTTGACATTTCTGTTTAAAAGTTTAAAAGTAAACTATTATCTGCTACTCGCTACTGTAAATACGTGTATAAGTGTTTTTATTATTTATTCGTAATGGCACAATATTCAATAAATGAAAAACTAGTTATGTACAATGTCTGTTTTCTTGACATAGTCTATTTATTAGATATTGAAAGTGTAATTTAGTGCTAGAGGGGACATGCAGTAATTAATTCCCACAACAGTATAATACTAACGTTTATATTTGATTAACCATGGTATTTTCTATAAGCTGCCTATGCCTGTGATTGTATTAATTTTAGTAAACATTCAACATGTATTTAATATTGTAAATATAGTGTATTGTAATGTAACCATTATGGAAAATAAAGAGTTCTAGTGCTATTAGCGTTCTTATAAAATTTTCAATACACAAAAATAATATTATTGCGAAAGGGAACTGTTTCCTGTTTTCATGTCTTGAGAATTTTAATTCTATTTAACATTTTTGCAGATCTACTGAGACACCTAAAGAAGCGCCTAAAGTTTCCATTGACGAAAAATGTGGTATTGCAAACAATTTAGCTGTGCCTTTAATTATTGGAGGAACAGAAACTCAAGAAGGACAATATCCATGGTTGGCGGCCCTATTTTCTTATAATTCTAACAAAAATAGTTATGAATATAGATGTGCCTCCAATCTGATCTCAAAAAAACACGTGGTAACAGGTGAGAAATTATTATAGTTCAAAATTGGTAATAATTGTATTATTAAAGGAAACACAATTGATATAATACAAGGTAAATAATACATAATTGCGCAGCCACACAAAAAAAGTTGTCTGTACTTTTCATGCGATATATGTTATCCGTAGTATTTTTGCCTCCTGATCACGAATCCGTGTCATAATTGAGCTATCGCATCACAGAAATTTCCTAACCTCAAAAAACAGGTCAAAAATAGCAAAAATTTACGAAAAAGTGCTAGGAAAAATACAAAAATGTTTTTTTTCTATATTCAAATGTTCATTTATATGGTAAAGACCCCGCCGAATGTGAATCCGCAGTCGAAATTGATGGTTCTTTTTCTACCTCAAAAAAAACGGGTCAATTAAGGTCAGATATCACGAATTTTCAAACATTAACAGATTCGCACCAAATTTGGTATACTGAGGTTTTCGGGACCGCTGATCACGGATCCGAGGTCAATTTTGCAAAATTCAAGATGGCGGATGCAAGATGGCCGACCAAATTTTCAAAAATTATTATTTGATCTATTCTATTGATCTATTGATTCGCAGCAAATTTGGTAGACGGGGGTTTTCGGGGTGGCTGATTACGTATTCGGGGTCAGAATTGCGAAATTCATTTTGTAATGTTTTTGTTTACTGTATAACCCGAGTACCCAATCATGTTTTAACATTCTTTTTTTCGACTGTATCTTGTTCTTTTTTCTGTAAAAGATGTTTTCACGGGTTTTCTGCCTAATTTCAGATAATACAGGTACAATACAATATAAGTACATAGGTAATTGATTAAATTTTTAAAAACGAATCTTGTAAATCTGATCTCAAATTCGTGATCAGCGACTCCGAAAACTTCCGTATACCAAATTTAGGGCGAATCTGTTATTTTTTTAAATTCGTGATATTGACCTTAATTGAATCATTTTTTTGAGGTTCGAAAAAGAACCATCAGTTTAATCTTTCCTGGGACTTTTTCGTGAATTCTTGCTATTTTTTGACCTGTTTTTTGAAGTTAGGAACTTCCTGTGATGATAGCTCAAATACTACGGATGAAAAGTACAGACAACTTTTTATGTGTGTGGCTGTATTATTAAAGAAAGTGTGCTGTCAATTATTTAAGGACTATGGAAAATTATAGACATATTTTAATCATAAATTATTGAGAATATTAAAAAGTTTCTTATAGTAGACTGATTAAATTAAAAATTCTGTTTAACATTTCTATTTTAGATTACAATTATCTGTCATAAACATACTGGACTACTTTTCAATGCAATAGTCTATAGGTTACAAGAACAGGGTCTTCGTGAACATCACTATCATATTCCAGCTATTCTCATTAATTAGAAGATTTGTTTTTTTATCATTTTTTATTAATGTCGCTTGTCCTGTTTTGACAATTTTCATATCAAATTTAATGATTTAGTTAGTCAATTTAACTTTTTTCGTTTTTACTTTCTTCTGCCTTATCTACAGGGTGTCCCCAAATTAGGGGGAAATATTTCTACGGCGTGTTCTATGTCGAAAAAGATTACTTTTTCTTTATATAAACATGGGTCCAAAAATTCTTCCTAAGAAAGTTATAGTCACTTAAAGGGACCACGCTGATGATGTTTTTTTTCTAAATAACTCCGAACCATTTGAGATAAATTTATAAAATTTGATAACTAGCTCAACTCTTACGTGCTCAGTCAGCCACTAAAACGAAATTTACAAATTTTCATCACATACATTCCAACACTGGGGGAGGGGGCTAAAATTTACTATACGTATAACTTTTTATGCGTTGACTTTTTTAACTTTTGACTGAAAAGTATGAAATTTCATAGTTTTTTATGAAAAAAAAGGTACTCTTGGTTCATAATGGTAGAATGCTCCATTTTTTTGTAAAATCCGTTTAAAAATAATGTTATATGTGTTAATCACTGGGAATCGAAATTGTCAATATTTTTTATCATCGCAGGTTTTGAATAACAAACATGCGTTTGGCGTCATTTGCATTGCCAGTTCAGTTATTTACTCTTTGCGAAGTGTTATCAGTCGAAAATGCAATATTTGACCGGAAATGGGTATTATGAATATCTGCTAGCCCTACGTTGGTACATCCTCATCAAACAGTGACTCGTTTTGGTTGCATTTGTGTCTCAACAATCACTCGTCGATTTTTTGAACCCCAAGTACGACAATTTTGTCGATTAACGAAGCCATCATGAAAAGAGCCTCATCGCTAAAGATAATTGTGTTCAAAAAATTAGCATCCATTTGTTCCATAATCCATTCAATGAACTCTCTTCGCTGTGCGTGGTCAATAGACTTCAGTTTTTGAGTCAATTTTCCTGAACTTTTGCCAACACTGTCACAAACTGGTTTGATGTTTTGTATTGAACTTGTTGAAGGGCGGCCAGATGTTGAAGATCACTATGTAATTGATCCAGTCTCCTTGAATTTTTCAATTAATTTCTTCACAGTTGATGAAGTGAAATTACTATTCACCTTCATTATTTTTTATTATATTGCTCAACAATGGAAACGTGTTGTTTTTTCATATAGCGCCCCATTTTTAATAACCCTGAACTGTCAGCTGTCACGCTGTCTTTTTTTTCATTGGCAACACTAAAGTGTTTGCACAAATGGCGCAAAATTCAAATCGTGTTTGAATTTTGGAACACCATTTTGAAAATATTGACATCTGTCCACCAAATTTAGTAAAATTTGTACAAAACAATTAATTGAAATCGTTCGCTAGAAGTACTAGAAGTCATTCATTATTTTCTTGTAGAAACAAAGTCGCACAAGAAAAAACATTACACATACCTATATTACAAGTTATGTCTAACTTTTTATTTCCATTATGTTATTTGAAAATGTGACAAAATCATCTGTCTATGTTGTACGAAAATGTAACACAACTTATAACCGTAAAGTCGGTATCAACTTTTCTCTTTTAAACATAATGGCGTAATTTCCATTCCAAATTTATCTATTTAGTCGATAATCTAGTTTTATGTTTCAGCTGCTCGCTGTGTTCAATACTACAAAATCCAAGTTGTTAAAACTGAGGATATTCTGATTGTATTAGGAAAAAATGACCTGACACACTGGGCAACAAACGGAGCTGTCACCAGAGGTGCTTCCAAAGTACAGAGCCATCCTTACTTTAAAGAAAATTCAAAATCTGCCCATGGAGACGTTGCAGTAATAACCCTAGGTGAGTCTTAACTAAAACACGTTTTGATAGAAGGAATGTTGTAAAGATTTCTCAGACATCAAAAGATCATTTTTTTTAGATAAACCAATTCAGATATCGAAGACAATCAGACCTGTCTGCTTGTGGGAGGGCAGTGAAGACTTGGATCCCCTAGTGGACAAGAAGGGAACCTTAGCTGCTTGGGGGGCAGACCAAAATGCTAAGGCGAAGGCTGAGTTGGTTACTCTGAAAGCGAATCATGTGGAAATACCTATCGCTTCCCAGTTCGATTGTCTCAAGTCCGATAAGATTTTCCGCAACCTAACATCGGAAATGACGTTTTGTGCAGGTATATTTAAGTTTTTTTTAGAAAATATCTTGCGTTGAGTAAGAAATAGTTCCTCACTAAATGGTAAAAGGGTACATATAAGTATTGATCTGAAACAACTTAATTAAACTTTTATGAACCAGGCAACATAATACTCACCAGAGGGTATTTGTCAGTCCTCTATATTGTGCTCTTCTAAATTAAATATCGCTGTTAACCAAATACTTCCATAAAGCAATTTATTGCTTTAATAATAATTCTAAAAAATAATACTTATTTTAGGAGCCAAGGATGGAAGAGGACCTTGTGTGGGAGACAGTGGAGCTGGTTTTGTCATACCAAAAAATCGCATTTTTTACTTAAGAGGAGTAGCCTCTATAGCAGCACCTAGCAAGAAGGACGGTTTGTGCGACTTGAGCAAATACACAATTTTCTGCGATGTGGCCAAATTCGGAAGCTGGATAAAATCTTGCATGGAGAGTTAGAGTATTTAATTAGTGAATTTCATCGAAGTTATAACAACTAATTATTTATATACTTCTATAACTGATTTAACAGTTTACATATGTATATCCTTATATTATATGCTTTGTGTGTTTTTGAGAGAATTGTCGACTTCAGGAGAATACTTGCCACATACTGTACGATTGAACAATAACAGTAAAATTATTTATTCTAGAATTGTTTCAATTAATTTACATATATTATCTCAAGTCAACTATTAAGTTTATGACATTCAGACTGTAGAATCTTGGTAAATTGGTAATTGGTCAATTCGTTCATTTCAACATTAGTTGAAGTGTACCAATCTAAAATCAACTCATATTGGTCATAGATAACCAGTCTCTCGTGATCATAGGTATCACATAAAAAAATATCCTAACATTAGATCAAATTATTATTGTTTCTAGTAAGTAATTACTCTTCAGACAGAATAAGCGTATTTGACAATAAACTGACAATATTTTATGAACAGAATAAATAAGCAGATATTTGAAGGAAGAAAACTTTTTATTATTTTGAAACATTATCGGAAACAGCGATATAATGAATAGTATATAAACATATGACTGAATGAATAAAGAAAAAGTGAAGAGATGCTATATTAGAAGTTGTGACAGATCTAGCAACATGAGGAGGACCTTTATCTAAAAGTGTTTCTTTCCTTCATATACTGAAATTTTTTGTAAATACTTAACTTTGCTCATTACCATATCTTTTGGCCCTTAAGGGGGCGATTTAGTATGTATATTTCTACCGTGTAACAGAGCTTCAGATGAGGACACAAATCATCGAAGAAACTAACATAATTGAATATTATTATATATCAATGTATTCGCAATGGTTCCCGCTAGTGAGTGAGATAAATTTCAATGCTCATGAGAACAGAAGAATAATTTAAATAAATGCAACCTCAATATTAACCATACAGTTAGTCTGTCAATATATTGCATTTACGACGGAACTAGGTCAGGCACAATAACCAAACTACTTCACTCACTAGAACGGACACCTATGATCATTTGTATTTAATTTTCAGATTAATATTTATTAATAATTCTATAATTTGTGTCCTCGAGTAAAATGATAACATTTTACACGACTCCATATTTATTTCATATTTAAACCAGAATTGTAGTGATTTCTAGCTAAATACAAGAATTTGTAAGTATAATTAGTTTGTATACTCTGTCACAGGTGTCGCTACCCTTGAAAATGAAAGCTAAAACACAGAGTTGGGTTATAAAATGCGTGCTAAAATAAAGCATAATGGTCTAATATTATCTTTGATATATAAATATGAGTAATTTTTTAAAAGTACCTAATTAATAAGATTTTGTAAAGCTTAAGTAGTACGAAAATATAACGCATAAAAAACCAATAATATGTACTAATTTTTCTTTATTAAGAACAAAGATTAAATTTTACGTACAGGGTGTCCTACATAAAATCGTTATTTATGTTCTAGCCTTGGTAGCTTCAAAATAAATTTACAGCTTAAAAATTAGTCTGGCTCAGGTAGATTTCTTTTTCAATCTACAAATCAGTAGCTACTTACCGATAAGAAGGAAACCACTGGATATTTAATGAAAAAAGTGACGACCAAAAAAGTAATTCATTCTTGAATATGAATATAACTAACACGATTTTAATTTCATATTGTCTTAACAATCAACTTTTGCTTATTTTTAAAATGTTTATTTTTTTAATTTCTTTTTTGAGTTTCCATTAGGTATACAAGCCGGGTCTTTACATTTCCTTTTTTGCCTTCTTAAAATGAACTAAATGCAAATATGAGAATAAAGTGATATTTCATTACAAAAAATATAAGTTTGCTGTGGCGGGGAATTCCAGAACAAAATATTTTTCAAATATGCTCCTTATGTCCTATCGCGTTGCAAAATATATATTTTTGTATTTTCTGTTAAAACATAACATACGACATAGCGGCACTAAAACTTTGCTGCCCTGCGTTACTCCTCGATGTATACAGGGTGAGTCATTCAAGAGGCTCACCATGGGTGTCTCGCTTCTCTTTTATCATAAGAGATTAGAGTTGTGTCGAGAGGATTTAAACCGGGTCCGGTCTTTTCATTTAGACCCGGTCTTTTCAATAATTTAAATTTCCCGCCATTTTATAGCCTCAAAGCAGATTAAAATGTCAAATATTGACCCCACCCTACTTAAGTACTGGAAAACTCTCAAGTTTTTAAGAATTTTAATTTTTAATTCTGTACCTAATATTAATAAATGCGTCGAAGCAAAGACATAGTTTGGAAATTCTTTGATTGCATAACTGATAACTAACCCTTTTAAAACAGTTAAAAAGAGGGTTTGGGTTTAAACCGGGTCTTTTCAAATGGGTTTAAACCGGGTTTAAACCGGGTTCAAACCCTCAAAAGACCCAATCTTTTCCCATCTCTATAAGAGATACTTACAAATTTGGTTAAATTAGAACAAAGTTACGCAATTATGAGGCTAAAAATATGGTACCGAGAAGTCAAGAATATCTCAATTTATTTTTGAAATACATACATACATACATACATTTGGGAAAAACTGAAATTTTTAAAAATATAATTAATTTATTTTTTTTAGTCAAACACACACCAAACAACAAGTTTAAATTTTAACGTTTCGTTCTTTATTTAGCCTTCCATCTTCAGGTGTCCTAACATAGATTTGTTTCTCTTTGTTCTGAGTTTTGGCTCAGTACTTACGTTTAAATGCTAAATTAAAAACTTAGTATTTTAATGTAGTTTGGCTTAAACACTTATAAAAAAGCCTTCTAAACATTTAAGTGATCCAAAATAAAGAGATTTGGAAGTTTGGACACCTGAAGATGGAAGGTCAAATACAGAACGAAATGTTAAAATTTAAACTTGCTGTTTGTTGTATGTGAAAAACATCATGAATTGCTACCAAAACTGCAACTATACTTAAAAAAATTAACCTGATGATAGCCCCGGTAAGGCGAAACGTTGTATAAGAAATCGGATAGAGGGCAAAAAGTGTCAATGAAGATGTGTTTGCAGATTTTCAATATTGTTTCAAATAAGGCTAGGTACAAAAAAGAAAATAAAATAGTTGCTTTTTTTCAGTTTTTCGCTTATATTTCCAAAAATAAGCCTCTAATCGACATGAGGTATACTTATTGATTTTGTTCCTGAGGAAATTTGCTACAAGGGTAGGCTTTTGCGAAAGTTCGCAAAATTTTTTTTATATTGCAAAATTAGCGGTGAATAGAAAAATGTACTAAATTTTCAGAATTAAATAAAAATAACAAATTTGACTGAAATTGGATGAAACTACAGGAAAAGATAACTGTTGGGGTGGTTAACAAATACCTGCAATCCGGACCCCCAAAAAAAAATGGCGGCGTATTGCAAAATTATATTGTCGAAAACGCTAGCGCGTGTATCTTCTGCCCAAGTCAAGATATCGAAATTCGACAAGAAAGGATCTAAAGGTAATTACATTATCTCGCGTCTGTGTAAATTTCAGATTTTTAAGTTGCAAAATAAAAAAATTTTGCGAACTTTCGCAAAAGCCTACCCTTGTAGCAAATTTCCTTAGGAACAAAATCAATAAGTATACCTCATGTCGATTAGAGGCTTATTTTCGGAGATCTAAGCGAAAAACTGAAAAAAAGCAATTATTTTATTTTCTTTTGTTATAAACAATATGACGCTCGACATCTACAAATACACAAATTTAGGCTTTTATTCTGTGTATTTTTTACTTAATTTTAAACCCATAAAATTCGAGGTAGGCCCGATTATTGAAAAAAAAACCTAATTCGCCCGGACTACTAGGCTTATTTTATTCATTTCAAAATTTAGAAATAAAAAGTTGTCATTCTGGGAACAATTGTTTATACAAATTTTGACTTTTTTTATGAACAAGTATTTGTAGAATAAGCTTTACAAGTCGCTTTTTCAGAGCACTATATTTCATTTTTGCAATAAGTATTTCGTTCTAAAAAATTTTTTTTTCTGTTCTTCATTAGTATTATTTTTGGTTTTCCATTTAAAAATTAAAGTAAGTAGCAAAAAAAATAGTGTATCTGGCAATTGAATTCAGATCCACTATAACTGCAGGCTAATTATATTTGAAATCGCATTATATTCGAAACAAGCGCACCTGCTAGAGCTTCGAGTCAACCGATACATGTAGCGTGCGCGTACTCCCCAAATGCCTTCCCCTCTCTTGCTTAGTTAGAATGTCCAAAACATGACATAAATTTATTTAATTTTAATAAGCAATAGCATAAAATCGATGTAAAATTTCCCTGGGAACACGATGGTGCAATTATTTTTTTGCTACTTGCCGTAGTTTACGAGATATTTGCGAAAAACCTTATTTTTTACGGTTTTTTGACCTTTTGACCCCTTTCCTGACCACCTAGGTCAAAAATTTTTGCGGATTCGGATTCCTGAGGGTCGAAAACATATTTGCGCCCAGGTTTGATCGACAGAGGAAAAAATAGAGGTTCAGCCTTCATTTCAATGGACTAAATAGATACAATAATATTTTATATATATTTTATGCCTATACAATTTATTCTCCAAACGTAATTAGTAGCAAGTTTCTATATATTTTAGTAATTAAGCAGTATTTTTTAAGTTAATACGACTCGCCAAAGTAAAAAAATAATTCAGGTTAGGTATATATTTTTACTGAAAATAGCAGTTAATTTACATTATCGGATTGTTAATGTGAAAATATAAACATTAGACTGTTGCCTATTCCATATTATACCTGTTTCACTTTTGAAGAAGAAACTACATGTAATTTTAAAAATCGTATTTCTGCTTTTATACTGAAGGAATAGTAATTATAAAATTGTTTAAGCTTATTAACTAAAAATTAATGCCTACTTAATAAAAAAAATATTATTGTCCTCGATAATCTATTACTGATTAATAAAATATTTACTCTCTTTCCTTATAAGATTGTATGTACAAAAATTGGAGCCGTTCCTGAAAAATCGGACGAATATCCGGTGCAGCGAAATTATTAGACTTAGCGTTGGCCGCTAGAGCAGCACCTGCAGGGGTCCCGTTTCGTGACTCACGCTGGGCGATATTTTTTGTACAAAATCCCGTCCTTAAATAAAGCTTTGGTAGCACAAAAACTTAAGAAATTTTACAAGTAATAATAAAATTAAAGG